TGATGTAATATGTAAGCTGTCTTCGGACAGCCCACCCATTTGAACTAATAAAGTGCCAGGGGCCTAAGTGGTCACCTAAATATAAAAAAAAATAAAATAAAAATAAAAAGCAAAATAAATACTTTAGTACCCAGGGTACCAAAAAGTGGACCAGCACTCCCTTTTTGCCCCTACTACTACTAACTAAAAAATAATTATAACCAATTACAGCAGTTTTCATTCTAATTGAAGCAGCTGATAAAAAATTAATTAAATAATTATATACCAACTTGTTAAGTTTTTGATTTACTTTGATTTTGGATATGGTCTAACTAATTATAATTTTTTATTAGCTATTCCAGTTAGAATAAAAACTGCTATAATGATAAAATAATTGCAATTAATTGCACTGGGAGCCCTAATTTTCCCTACCAGTTGTAATTGGATACATGAAATATTGTCTTCAATTGGGCAAACTAGATCATACCGCCTTAAAACAGCTGCAAAATTATTTTACCTTATTTCATTTAGTCAGCGATGATCATAATAGTCTATTTTTTATATTTATATTAAATTAGTCTGTAAGTATAGTCTAAAATATGCTAAAAAAATTTTTGTTACTCTTTAAGTTATTCTATATCAGAAAGATTATAAATTATAAATTTATTTGGTAAGTATGAAATAATTTGCTAATCAAAAATATTCGAAAATAATGTATGCACTTATTAGTTTTATTAGTTTGTCATACTGATTTGGTCGATAAACAATCTTTTATTCATGTCGATTCAGTCAATATTATTTGTTAATCGAAATATTTGAAATATCTATGTATGTATCTATTATTAATTTCATATTTGTGCTGATTATGATTTTTATAACTTGATTTTTCTGAAATTTATATACAAAGTATTGTTATAAATTTTGGTTTTATCTGAACTCAAGTTGCATGGTGCCATATTTACACTTGTACTATATTATAATAGTGCACATAGTCTAAACTTAACAAATCACAAAAAATTAGGCTATATATGTACGTTACAATAATTTTATACAATATTGGTACCGATAGTTTTTTTGGTTCGTCTACAAAAACCAGACTGGCTAAGTCCTAAGACAGAGCACAAGACTGGGTTTTAGTCAAACTAACTAACAGCTCTAATTGTGTACATGATCTAAATTTAATATGTCAAATCAAATATCGCAAAATACAGAATCAGATTAACAAAATTTTAAACCATTTAATATCTAGGTACTTTCCCGTTCCTGGTTTTGTGCGATGCTGTTGTGCAGCTACCTTATTTTACAACAACTTATGATAGAAATCATGGTAATTCAAATGCACACAAACTCGGCTGTATTGATTAATCAAAAAAATCAGGGATGCTATAGGTGCAACAATTTTTTTTGTTATATATAAAATACAGATACATCTGGATAGATATCTGGATTCTAATATTTTAATTTAGAAGGATATCCGGATGGCCGTTTTTTGAAATGGATATTAATTCGGATATCCGAATTGTCATCCGGATCCCAACACTAGTCATAGATTTGGGGCTTGCATTGGTATACCACTTTCATTTTCATATTTAAAAGATCAAATTGTTGGTCCTGATCATCAAATAATTTCATGTGATCATATCGAAGTATTGAATTCATGGTTAAATGATTGGTGTACTTTCCATAAACTTCGTATTATATTATCATGGTTACTTATATTTGTGTGGTTTATAATGTCCCCAATTTATTTGTTTACCATATTAGCAATTTTAAGTAAGAGAGTTTATAGAATTTTAAAATTATGGACCACTTACCAATATCAATATAGAAAGGGTTTATTCTTAACTTGGTTAGAAAAACGAAAAGAAAAATCAATGCAGCAAAATGAAATAATAACTTACAACAAGAGTGTTAAGGAAGATGCAATTAATGATCTTAAAGTAGTTACTGCAGTATAGTGTGAATTACTATATGTTTTATATAATATGAAATTTTTTTATCCTCATTTATTAAGAAAATTTTATATAGTAATAAAAAAATAAAATATAAATATCTTGCAATTTACTATAATTGAAAGTTTTCTCTGCATGTAAAAAAAATATATATAGTTAGCTATGGAGAGAAAAAAGATTATAATTATAATAAATTTAATAGTAATTTGCGCATATGGAATACTATCCTTCTTAGCTGAATTGCCAATTAAATATTTTAATTTATTGCTCTTTTAAAAAATACACAGAATATTTTTATTATATTTTCGTAATTTCAATCTTATCCTCTATATATTTTATAAAAGTATATAACAATCAGATAGTTAGTTAATCATATTTTTTTATTATCATATCTAAGTAAGGTTAGAAATAAGTAAATGGTTATTACTACACTGGATTTAACTTCTAAGAGTTATGTTCTATTCAAACGCCCCTAGCCAGGGTTGTGAATAGACAATAGACATACCAATAGACTCAATAGACAGTCTGATGGTGTCTAATTACGTCATTAGACAATAGACAAATTACTATATAATTTAAACAATCTTGACTAGACTATTCCCCTATCATCCTCTGTAATATTGGCCAATCGAATTCAGAATCAGGTGTAACGTAAAAATCAAAGCGAAACCACTTTTTTACAAAAAAAAAACAATAGCTATAAATTTTAATTAGGAAACCACCTTCTGCGGCCAATTAAACATGTTCCTCGTGAAATTTTACCAATAGCCTCAACCAAAGCATCGCATAATAGTGCCTGTGATTGGTCGATTGTTAACCAATCGATCAGTTTTTTTTATAAAAAATTTTGAGCGCTAATTTCAGAATTTTTTTATATATACCGTTCCGACATATTCGAGTAGAAAATCAAACACCGTAAATTATGCAAAGTTCAGAAAGAAAATGAGTATATTTATCACGTGGTTAATGGCACGAAGAAAAATTGCATAATTTACGATCGTTTCGTATAATTCTGGGAACGTAAAGCATTAGCCGCATAATTTGGTCCAATCGCATCGAGGTCCGAACCTAGGTGCCGCACAAAAAATGCGCGGCAGATCCTCGATTTTGATTGGCTAAAAAAAATTAAGCCGGAATTACT